TACATTTGAAATAAGAAAAAACAATTACATTGTCTTATTTCCAGTACATATTATCTAACTATCTTATTTTAAGAGCAAAACTACTCATTCTATTGGCAAATCCTCTTATTTACCTGCTCAAATTATGGGGAAATACAATGAATTTAAGAAATTTTTACCTATTTCTAGATTGTTTTTGCAGTGTAAAGCATATATTTTGGCAAAAGAAAGACAAACAACAGGTCTTTAAAATGTCTGTGTTACAGGAGTGAAACCCGGAAGGTTTTTTTTAACTCTCGGCTCTGCATTACAAATTTCTTATATTCTTGATGTAAATCTCTGTTTGTTTTTATGAAATCAGTAATGCTCAGTAAGCTATCAGAACAGTGTGGGTAAAGTCAGATTTGGAAAAGGCTACTGTACCTCAAATCAGATATCAAGTCTCAACAAGTGCAAAAATAGCAACACCAAAAGTCAGCTTAGATTCAAGGACCCATATGCTGTTATAATAAAAGTCCTGTGGTGACTTAGAATCATTCTCACTGCTTTGGAGACCAAGTCCTGATATAGATTTAGGAGACTGAGGTGCTAAAGCTTCAGAGTGACGGCAACATCATGATGGTTAAAATGGGGAGTGTCGGCCTAGTGAAATCCTGAGATTCTGAGTTCAAGCCCCACTCCCCTAGACTGCCAATCTGGGTCTCCGAGCAACACCCTTAAAGGAATAGTACACCCAAAACATGATTAGCCTTCATTTTCTACTCACCCCCATGCTGAACAACACTCTGGAGTACTTTTTTGATATCTCAAATGCATCTGGAGATCTGGGAGGCTTCTTGCTGTCTGCTGACATTCAAATAATGGAGGGTATGGTGCCCGAGGCAGAAAGGTCCATAAAAGTCCACAAAAACGTGTCAATATTCCTCCATACTGCTCGTCCAATGTATTCCAAGTGTCCTGAGTGGGTAGCGTCCATAATTTACTCGAAACGAAGTCATTTAGAATGTTTTTAGAGCATCAACAGTAGTGTATAGGATTTCCTAAAAGCGCACGCCTGCGAGTTCACGAGCCTACGGAAACCGCGGCAGACCAAACCAGATGAAAGTGCGCATTCAGCTCGGCAAAGAACTCATGCTCTTCCTCAACACTGAAGTCCTCAGACATTTTTCTTTCGTTGTTTCTTTCTTTGCACAGGTAAACAGCAAATTTCTTCTTCTACGCTTGCATTATCAAGAGCAGACGCTGAATGCGCACTTTCATCTGGCTTGGTCTGCCGCAGTTTCCGTAGGCTTGTGAACTCGCAGGCGCGCGCTTTCAGGAAATCCTATACACTACTGTTTATGCTCTAAAAACATTCTAAATGACTTCGTTTCGAGTAAATTGTGGACGCTACCAACTCAGAACACTTGGAATACATTGGACGAGCAGTATGGAGGAATATTGACACGTTTTTGTGGACTTTTATGGACCTTTCTGCCTCGGGCACCATAGACCTCCATTATTTGAATGTCAGCAGACAGCAAGAAGCCTCCCAGATCTCCAGATGCATTTGAGATATCAAAAAAGTACTCCAGAGTGTTGTTCAGCATGGGGGTGAGTAGAAAATGAAGGCTAATCATGTTTTGGGTGTACTATTCCTTTAAGCCCGCACTGCTCCCAGGGCACCCCACGATGGCAGCCCACTGCACACCAAGGGGATGGGTTAAATTCAGAGGTAAATTTCTCCAATGTGAGATCAATAAAGTTAAACTATTATGTTAAAAGAAAACAGGGGAGAGTGATAGAAATTTAGTGTAAATGCAACAGTTAAAATTCCAATGGAATGATATTAAATGTTTTTTTTTTCAAATGCACAATGTGTAACTTAAGCTTTCTCATATAACATTTTGATTTAAAACAGGTATGTAGCAGGTTACTACATCCCGTACTCTGATTTTGTAAAACAAATTCAAGACTTTAAGTCGACACGACTAAGAACCCCCAGTTGGATAACTATTGCATTTTAGCCAGAAATATTATTTGTCATGATGCAATGAGAAACTTGTCATTTCTTAAACAAACAGGTCAGAAGTGGCATCATGGTGATGGAAAATATGTTAGTCTGTCTCAGAAGTTTCAAATTATCAGTATTACAAAATGTAAAGAGAATATATCTATGGAGCATACTGACAGTTCTAAAAGTGCACAATTAACTGTCCAACCCATTATCAAGTGATGGAAGAAATGTCGGACGGGGAGACAAAAGTTGAAAGATTGGATCGCACTCATTCCCATTTCTGTCAGATTTTGCTCAACACAGCAAAAACACTCCAACACTTTCATGTCCTCCTAGTAAATCAGCTCTTGTTGAAGCTATTTTCCCCACAGCTTTTGCAAGACTTATTCAGGCGCCACCACAGCGAATTTTAACATATGGAGAATGATTGAGAGAAATACGTTTTCAGCAGAAACTTTTGCAGCTCTTAAATTGTTGTTGAAATCTTTGTTTATGTTCCATCTTGCATTCATGTCAATTATAAATGAAAATACAATTTAGCATGCTACTGGTATTTTTTACACTCTCCTCCAAACTGCTACCTTTGTAAAAGCGCCATCATTCTGTAAACCACAGCTTTAGCTTTAGGAAAAAAGAATAAAGGAGAAAATAAGTAAAAAAAAATTCCCACTAGAACAGTTGCCCTTTATAATAGTTTAATCATCTTTCCCTTTTTTGATGAAAAATCTGTCTAAAGAGGACTAAATGTCAAAATTAGATCAAAAAGTGCAGAAAATATAATAATTCCCTAAATGTGTGCATGTTTATTTAACTTGGCTGATGTATCTTTTTTTTTTTTACTACTTTTTATGTTTTCTTCTTAACTTTCAGAGGACATTTAGGAGATAAATGTATTATGAAAGGCTGGAAAGATTTCCTACACCAAAAAAAAAAAAAAATCATCACTTATATTAGAAAGTAGTATCATTGGAATAACCATGGATCTCGGTGTCATATTTACTTTGATATTAGTACAATAACCCCTCATTTTTTCATACCCCGCGCAACATTAGGTAATCTTGTAATGTTACCAACAAGCTTTATGTGACTTGCATTAATATTGTGGTTTTGGAACTGCTTTTGAATCTCATAGGGCATCTGAGGAAGGAATTAGCGCTCACTGTGAAGGCAAAAAGGCCTTCCAATCAATAAGATTTAAAGCTCATTACAAAAGAATAAATCATCAAAATACCAGAAGAAACATGCAAATCGATGGTCAGCAAATTATTAGAAGGGTCTAGAAGAAGTGATTTATAAAATTAAATATACACATATATACGGTATATACATATATAAAATGTACACAAACTGCACATATTTTTTGTAACTAACACTCGTTATCCTGGAGTATAACCTTTTGAAAGATACCGCTTCATTTTTTATCAAAAACAAAAACAATTGATTGAATAAAAATGGTTTTGAATCTAAATCACTATGAATACCATTGGGATAAAAGCTCTTAAAGAAAAAGACACTACAGCAATAAGCCCAAAGAACAAATATACTAAGACTTTGATAGATTCGTGCAATTTTGTCAACAACTGATACTTAAAGCGATAGTTCGGTATTTTTGACATGAATCTGTATGGCATCCC